AAGTATGAATATTTAAGACAAAATTTGTACTTAAATGGTGTACATCATTTATGTTCATAACCTCAAGAGGAAAAGCTATTGGTGACATTTTTTTAATGGATATGTTTTTCTATTTTGTTGGTTAGATTTGTTTACAAAATAGAGTGAATTAAGAAATAATATTTTTAAAGAAATGTCACTTTCTCCCATATTTAAACTTTGAATGTATTTTGAAATGTTTTAATGATATCTGGTCATTTTGATCTCAAAATACAAGTAACTCTATGACAATATATATTAATAATTTAAAAACACTTGTCCTATGTTCGTTCAATTATAATTATTTACTAAAAAGCTTTAATTTAGTAATATTAATTATATTTTACAACATCATGTACTATATATACGATACACACGTGCCCAGAAACTAGTATTACTATATCATGTCTAGCCAAGACTAAAAAATTACCCAAAGCTCATAAAGCACGAATCTATAATCAAGTTCATAATCTTGAGGTCAATTAATATGACAAGTCTCCTATTTCCTAAATTTCAAGTCTAGGATTAATTCTCAACTCCTTTAATATCATAAATCTAATTGTATTTATATATACAACACACTTAATATTAAATCACTTATCTCAATATATTAAAACTTAATTTATAATATGATAACAAAATAATAATATTTAAAATTAAATCCACTGGTTACGAAACCATTAACAACAATCGTCAACCCAAATTTCATCATATCACCAGCCAATCATTAACCATTACCAAATTATTGTCTCCCTTACTTTCTATCCAAAAACCCACTTAGCCAGTGAATTTTATTCACAATCTACTCCTTCTGCGCTTCATAATTTCCTTCCTTACTAAAAATGAACTAATTAAATTTTAAGCATATTCGTAAGAACTAATTAAGAAGAATTGGAGTAAACCTCACCTGAAATCATCCTTCCAATTTTTCTTTACGATCGTGTGGTCATTTTATGTTCTTTTCTTCTACAGATTATTTACTACCCTAATTATTATACATGACTAATCATGAGAGTGATAGAAGTGGCCTACTATTAATTTTAATAAAATATTTTCATTAACCACCAATTAAATCAATTGTTAAAATTACTTCATTAATTATATAACTATAATTAACAAATAGTCCAAAATACCCATTTAGAATCTACCGAAAGAGCCTTTTATGGAATAAGAAGCTCTAATACTCAAAAGACTTAATGGGTCGTTACAAAAAATAATTTTGACTTTGCCATAAATCATATTACACAATAAAAACACATGATATAATTTATATATAGGAAGTTTATACCATGAGTATCTTACAAATCAAATTTTATGTGTAATTTTATTATTAATACTAATTTTACATGAAAAGAAAAGGTAATATTAAAATAAATAGTATTAATATTGATTGTAGTAGAGATAAAATATTTGGTTAGAATATTTTGAATACATATATAGAGAGAGGAACATTTGGTATTCTTTTTATGATATTTTATTTAAGGATAAAAAAAATCTTAATTTAAGCTAAATTGATAATTTGCTATAGCAAAAAATTAGGGCTTATGTTTGTTTTAATTCTTTAAAAATGTTATATACGTAATAAAAACTTTCATATTTGTAATATTTAAAAAGTACTATCATTTATATAATTAAGAATTGTCTTTCTAAATCTTAAGAATTGTCTTTCCAAATAATTTTCTAATAAATGAATTTACTTATATGAGGCTAATTTGTGTGCTTTTGCCCAAATATTTTCGTTATAATTTTCAAAATATATATATATAGGTTACTTTCCTTTTTCTTTCTCTTTCCTTACTTCTCCAAAGTTCACCATTTGTCAAAAGCGCTTAAAATAAAAGTAACACCCTCAAAAAGTCAACTTATGCTCGTATAAACACTTATCGTCTTAAAATATTCATCATATTCTTTTATTTATATATTTTATTTTATTTTTAAATTAGGAGAGGTGTTTGAACATTTGATCCTATTTATGTTTAAAATATATTTTTTTCGTTGAATATTTACTTTATTTTTATTCCATAATTGAAGTATTATTCATGAACAACTACTACTAGAAATAAAAATAAAATAAATTATCTTGAACTTTTAAAATACATTACTTTGAGGTAAATATTTTTAGCAAGAACAATAAATATTTTGACAAAGGAGGAAAATATTTTTTTATTTTTATATAGAAGCAAAACATTCAATGAATCAAACCAAAATGTTGCTTCGGCATTAGTAGCTTAGGTTAAGGTTTAGCAATATTTCAAGCGATTAAACATTACTCAAAGTTTCAATAAAATACAAAAAAAATAAAATCAAATGAATTATAAGTAATTGCACATGGTATATATCAACCTTCTTTAGATATAATAAGCCTTTCAAACATATATAAACTTGAGTATAAAAGAGAGAAAAGACTTATCTTTTTGCTTAAATATGACAAAAAGGAGGCCTACAACAAAGAGAACAATACAATAAAGCTATTCTTCATTAGAGTCCTCTTTAAGGTAAATTTATATCATTAATATGTTATTAGAATGAAATTTGTTATTGCGTTAAAAATTTGCCATTGGGATGAGGCACATAAATTTACATCCACTATTGATTTGACATATAATATTACTACATTACCCTTTGAATATATTAAAGGGATAAGACACAAGTATCCCCTAGACTGTGACTGAAATCCTAGAGACACACCTTAATTAAACTAAGGTCCTATTACCCCTCATCCACCCCCCCCCCTTGAACCCATATTTTTTTGTAATCTCGTGGCATCCAAACATTTCTCGCGCACCTTAGTTATGTGGAGTCACGGAATCTGCCACATAAGCCAAAAGAGGTACAAAATTACAAAAAAAAAAATGAGTTCGGGGGTAATAGGACCTTAGTTTAGTTAAGGCGTGTCTTTGAGATTTTAGTCATAGTCTAGGGGGTACTTGTGTCTTTTCCCTATATTAAATTTAATGCTTTGGAGAATGTATTAGATATTGAATAGTATTTAATAGCAATGATAAAATAGACGCAAAATGATAAATTATCTCTTGATTTTTTAAATTGGACAAATATTGTTGAACAACTATGTTTAGTACAATGGACAAGCAAAGATGGAAAGAGGAGTATAACTAAAACAATGTCTTCACTCTCCAATTACTTTCAATATAATCACAACTTATTGCTATCTTATATGTGGAAGTATCCCGTTTCTTTCTTGTAGTCCAAGTTACTTATAAAGATTTTTTCAAGCTAAGTGATCACTTTATAAAATAAAATAAAAATGTCTAGTTCCAAGTGACTTTATTACATTCTGAAGTTAAAGCTGGATAATCTCCAAGTTTTTAAGTCAAAAGGGATATATGTGGTAGAGACCATTATTATGTAGCTTTTAGATTTGTTGAATCTCAAACCATATATTTTGATTTAGAAGAAATATTGATTAATATTTTCTCATTTCTTTTACTCGTTCACTGTTAGCACTTTAAACTCCTCTGAATAAGTATTTATTTTATTAAATTTTTCTTATCAATAATAGTTATTCTTAATTATCACTCTCACGTTTGATTCTCTAAAAGGTTATTTAATATATAATTATGGTAAAACTGGGGGGGAAATAGTTGTTTCTATTGATTTGTTAATATAAAATAAAAAGGAAAACATATTTCCAATATTTTAGACATGTAAAAATGAACATAAAAAGCAATAATAAAATGTTACGGCATTCGTCTCAATACATGTAGCATATATTGTTTGGGCATGTAATATAAGAATAACCAATATTTCACTACTAAATAATCTATTAAAACTGATCTAAAAAATGATCTCATGATATGTCTAAAAAAGATTGTTTGCTTTTTCTCATGAGGTCAGCAAAAAACCGACCTCATGAGGTCATCTAATTTATTTTTCTGACCTCAAAATATCGAATTTTCTTGAAAAATCGACCTTATGAGGCTGATATTTTTAAAATATTCTTTTGTTTCAATTAACAATAGCGACCTCATGGAGTCACAATTGCAATTTTATTTTTTTAATTATTCTAAAAGATCAATTATGAGGTGATCACAATTGTAACTTTTTATTATTTAATCATTTTAAAAGATCAAATTATCAGTTTCAACAAGCAGTGAATTAAGAATTGACGGCTTCCTCCACAATATCCTCTTCTCTATCAAAATTAATTCACCAATAATATTTAATTTAAATCTAAAATAATTTACATGAATATCACTCTTAATCAGTTTTCTGCTCCAAAGATTCAAAATGCTAATCATAAACTAAGGAGTTTTTTTTCTACGTATTTTAAAATAAATACTCCATTTGTCCCTAATTATTTGTCCACTTTTGAATTGACACACCTATTAAGAAAACAATGATTGACATAATGAGTTTACCAATTTACCCCTATTAATTATGAAGTGAATGAATTTAAAACTTAAGATTTCAAAAAATTCTATCTTTTCCAAAGAAATTAATTGAGGGTATAATAGGTTAAAAGAATTTGTTCTTTCTTGATTTGTCAAAATTGACAAGTAATTAGGGATAACTAAAAAAGAAAAAGTGGACAAATAATTAGGGACTGAGGGAGTATACAAAATGTGCTAAATAGGGAAAGATTTGAAAACATAAGCTAATTTTAGTCATAAACTTGGCCAAATAATATAGCGTGTTAGGTGATAAATGCGGGTTGAATTGAATGTAAGTTGACCATAATGGGTCTTGTTAATAAATGGATGGTTAATGGTTTATCGACCCTCCAAAATTTTGTTTGACTGAATGGGGTTAGGCTTAAATAAGTTAAAATACAGGTCATAACTCATCTTGCTTAACTCTTAAGTTTGAATTGCTTTATTTATTTTTTAAACATTCGTTAGTACCTTATAAATATTCTTTGTACCTTATCAAACAAAAATAAATTAATAAAAAATTTCATAAATCAATTTGAGCTAGATATCAAATCAGTGTAAAAAAAACCCTAGCACACACCATAAGTTTGAGGATCATGTGCATATTTCTCTTGTTTAGACTTTGAATAAGGAGAATCTTTACTCATTAATCCTTTCCTATATATATATGCTTGACTAATACCTCTTTTTTACTCAACAAGCATTATATATATGTTTGTCATCAAAAAAATATTAACAAAATATGGATTCATCAAGCAAATTGTTCCAAATTTCTAGAGAGTTATCAGTAGGACATTCTTCAAGAATTTATTATTATAGAAGAGGTGAAGGGGTTCCATTTGAATGGGAAAAGCAGCCTGGAACCCCTAAAATTAATCCAACAAAAGAAAATGTCAATATACCACTTAGCCCTCCACCTTCATTTCAAAGCTTAGGGCTTACTAAACCTTGTTTTGATGATCATGATGAATCAAAACATTTCAAGGTTTGGCTTACAAACAAGATGAAGAAATTGCATTCATCAAAAAGATTTGTGAAATCGCGCGATGGAGACGATTCGTTTAACAACTCTAGTTCATCTTCATTTGATTCAAACACTAAAGAGAGGGATAAATTTTCAAGGGATTTAATGGAGGATTCATATTGTTGCAATCTCACATCAATGGTTGGTAAATGTTTTAAATTTTATTTTCATTTGTCATTTTGTGTTAGTTACTCTGTTTCAAATTGTTTGTCTTGTTTTAATTTGACATGAAGTTTAAGAAGAAAAAAAATTGTTTTGATTTGACATAGAGTTTTTTTTAAAAAAAAAATAAGTCTTGAGGTCTTAAACTAAATATATGTAAAATATACTAAAATATTTTTGTGGTGAAAACATATTATGTGAAAAATAAAATTAAAGAGTTAATACAAAAAAGTAAAAGGTATTTTGTTTTCAAAACAATTTGAAAGGGAGAGAATAAAAGATTTAGCATTTATTTTAATTAATTTTTTTTTTGATTATTTCCTTCCAAGTATGTTATAAATATCATGTCCTTTAAATAATAATATCAGGTAATCTTCCATGAAAGGTGGGATTATTAGCAACTTAACAAATATGGAAAATTACATGCAACAAAAGGTTGATATAATTATAGTGATAGTATAAATATATATACTTTAATATAAGTAAGTAAATCTTTTCCTGAATAAAAGACTTAATGTCATAATAATTAGAGTGAAGTGGTTAAAACATATCTAAATTAATTTGCTGTGAATTATTATTTTTATTTTTGAACTATGTCTAATACTAATAGAACGCCCATATGTTTGAATAAGTGAATTTGACAGCGCCCCAGCTAACAAGCTTTAATGATATGTATGTAGGCTGATTAAAATAATCTTATAATCCTATATACACACACACACTAATTATGACATCTAAAACAAAAAGAAGAAGAAAGAATAAGTGGTTAAATCAATTACAACACCTTGAGCGAAAAATCCACATCTTTTACGGTCTGAGACTCTGAATAATGATTAAAATACTTGTGAGGTAATATTTTAGAAAAGTTTTTAACTTCATTTAGACAAATGTATTAAGTATGTTTTAGTTCTAGACATAATTTGGAGACTAAAATAATATGTGTATCAAATTCAAAAACGTTTTCACCACTCCAGGTTAAAAAACTTATGCAAATATTTATTCACAAAAATAGTGAATGTGCGGATCTTGAATCATTAGCGTTCAGCGGAGACTCTTAGGAGTGAAGTTATATGATATTAAATTATAAATTAATAATCTACTATAACATATTCATTTATAATATGTTATTTATTCTAAGTTATCAATTTTTATACCAATTATTTGTAATTATCTTTTAAATGATATGATTTATTTAAATATTTTTACACATATGGTACTTTAAACTCTATTTGTAAATTAGCATTAACGTTTGGACTATAATTGCATTTGTTTTGCTTTTACTTTTGTGTGTTCTTTAAGAAATCGATTTGGTTTTGAGAGAACAGATTCTGAAAGATTCTTTTAACTTCCATCTTGAGAAAACAAATTCTCTCAAGAAGGAAGCCAAAAAAGAAAAAAAAATCCTAGTAATTTCTCAATTTTCTCGAGAAATTGACATAAATAGTCGTCCATCAAAATGATTACCAGCAAATGTATATTTTTTATATATTACCACTATCTTTGTCCCAAATTATATCACTCACTTTTCTTTTTAGTCAGTTTCAAAAAATTATACATTTTTATATTAAGTAACAGTACTTTAACTTTTAAATGCTCATTTTATCCTTAATGGAATGATTTATAGTCACAGAGCTAGCTAATTGTGTTGCAGGATAAAGAGGAGGGCTATAGAAAAATGCACAAGAGAGAAGAAAATGGTGAAAGATTATTTGTTGAGAGAATAGTTTCAAGAATGTCATCAGTAGACCAATCTTACTATAGAAGCACAGTAGAAGGAATTCCCTTCAAATGGGAAATGCAGCCAGGTACTCCTATGGCTATACATACACCACAAAATGAAGTCATTCCACCACCTAGCCCTCCACCAATGATACAAAGTTTGGCATTCCCTAAACCTTGTATTCCTCATCATGATCAAGACAATACACCTTCTAATACTTGGGAGAAAATCAAGAGAATGATCAAAAGTAGTCATCAAGCAGGGCGCCGTGATTCAGTTCTATCTTCTTCTATCTTGAAAAAGAAAGTGCTACCCTTGTCTAAACTTACAAAAGACGTCTTGGGGAGAAAATTTTGTTTCAATCCATGGAAGATTAAAGCAAATCTTGCGTCTTGACGCATATGAATTACATTATGGACTTCTTACTAAAGAGTTATGCGCACATATATAAGCCAACAATAGTATGAATGGGACAAGAACGTGATGAAAAGTTATATGTTTAACATATACAAGTTGAATTTGTGTATTGTTTCATCGATGTTTATTATATACCTCATGTGGAATTTGGCGATCGTGATCGTGTTAATTTGATGCATGGTATACTACATGGTGGAGAAATGGTATTAATAATACTTGATAATTTAGAAGAAAAATCATAACGAATTTTATGCCTTCTACTCCTGATGAGACAAGCAGAAAATTAACATGAGTGATAATCTACTAGGTAGATGCGTGTCAGCTTAAATACTACTTCCTCTATTACAATTTATGTGACAATCTCATACGTAATGAAATCTAAAAAATAAATTATGACTTTTTGAATCTCATCATTTTAAACACATCTTAATATGCATTTTAATATCAAAATAACAATATTAATTTGCATGAGTTAGTGATGAAAGTGAGCATTATTTTTTGGTACAACTCATGTAACCACTATTACATGTTTCACATTAATTACCCCACTGCATATTCTACAATATTTATTATTATCCCACTAATTTGTTATTTGATCTATGAAAAAAATTTACACCTAAAAAAAGTAGTGTTTCTTCCTTTGTGTTTGAGCTGAGAAATATTATATGAAGTATGAGAATTATGAGAAGTGGGTGAAAGTGAGGTTAGAGTAGTGAAAAAAGAATTGAGAGAAAGGAAAATATTTCAAGTTTCCAACTTATTGACTATACCAAAGAGATTAATTTTATGTTGAAGGAATTAAGGTGTTTTTTTTTGTGGAGCTTTGGATTCTTCTACTAGTCTGGAGCAATTTGAATTGTACAATGTTGTTGGTTGTTGTATCTTGGAGGGGACAAGTCAAGAGTTATACTACTGGATTGGTGAATATTATATCACAGTCAACTTGAATCTCCTTAAAAAGAGCAAAACATTTGTGTCCCAGCCTGAATATTTTTTGGTAATAAACTGTGAATATATTACCTCAACAATCAAAAAAATAACAATCTAAAGAGTACACTAGTTCCAATCCCCTTTCAGAAAGGTTATTGGCCTGCTAGTGCCTCAGTAATCAACTATACATTTCTGTCTCCCTATCCTTCTAGTTGTTGTATTAAGTTCCTACAACTATAAGCTCTTCTTGTACTCATTTGGCTTCCTATTCTTTCCTTCACCTCCTTTTGTATTTGATTGCTTACTTCTTCGGCTTGGATTATTAGGTTCCTAAATATTTTCCAATTTCTAGCTTTCCAAGTATGATATCAATGCTCCAAAAATTGTAGTTGCCACCTCCTTGTGGAACTTTTTCCAGTTCCTCTTTTTTAGCCATTGCAAAGTTTGTTTGACGTCGAAAAGAAATCCTCGACCATCTGGCCAAAGCTTGTTGTACTCCTCTAATCCATGTACGGTCAACAAATAAGTGTTGTTGCGTCTCCACCTGGTCGTCCACACATAGGTTACACTTCTCATCTCCAGCTAGCATGTTTAGCCTTTGGAGTCTTTCCTTGGTTAGTAATCTGTTCTGATAGGCCAGTCAAACTATGAACCTGTGTCTAGGCATCATAATAGAATTCCAAACTAGGTCCGCCTCTTGCATTCTCTCATGTCTTCCTATCATCGCATTGTAACTTCGAGTGACTGAATATTCTCCATTCGCAGTCAATAAATACACACCATTGGAAAACTAGTGTACCATGCCTCTTTTGAGTGTGTTAATTTTCTTCCAATACCAACTACAATCTGCAGGAACCTGATGCTCCCAAATGTTTGTGTCCTGATTTTTCATATATACTCCATGCACCCATTTGACCCATAAGGTATCATTCTTCCTAGAAAGCTGCCATATAAGCTTCCCCACAGAGGCAATATTCCATTGTTTGTTGTTCTTGATGCTCAGACCCCCATACTTCTTTGGTGCGCACATTGTGTCCCAAGAAACCAAAGCAATCTTCCTTTTATTGGTTAAGCATCCCCATAAGAAATCTCTGCAGATCTTATCCACCTTCTTGAGTATACATTGTGACAGCATAAACACTGCTCCCCAATAATTATAAATGGAAAATAGGACTGCTATAATGATATGAAGTCTTCCTGCATACGACAATGATTTAGAATAACCCGTGGTTACTCTGTTGGTTATCTTCTCCACTAGTACATGACAATCAACTTTGCTCCACTGTTTTTATGAAAGTGGCAAACCCAAATATGTGATTGGTAACGTTCCAGCCAAAAACCATGTCAGCCTAAGAAACTTCTTCTTTGTTTCATCATTTACCCCAGCACAATAGAAGCTAGATTTATCATTATTCGCCACCAATCCAGTAGCATCAGTAAAATGGTTTAATACCTCCATCACTCTTGTGATAGATTTCTCATGTGCTTTGCAGAATATCATCAAATCATCTGCAAAGATCAGTTGCGTGAGTTTAGTTCTTTTGCACATTGGATGAAACCTGAAATCTGATAGCTCACTCATTTTATTCAAACTTCTTGTAAGATACTCTATCACCAGTACAAAGAGTAAGGGGGACATTGGGTCACCTTGTCTTAATCCTCTTCTCCCCTCAAAGTATCCAAACCCATCCCCGTTAACCTTCACAATATATCTTGTTGTTGTGACATAAGTCATCATCACGAAGCTAGTGAAAGAGTTTGGAAACTCATATCCTATGCAGTGCTTCCTGAATAAAGTCCCAACTTACCATGTCATATGCCTTCCTGAGATCAATCTTCATTAGGCATCTAGGTGTAGTTTTTCTATTATAGTACCTAAGAATATCATGACATATCAAGACATTGTGGACTAGTGATCGACCATCCACAAATGCTGCTTGATTTTCTGCTACAATGCATGCTACAACCCTTCTTAGTCTAAGGCAAATAAACTTCGAAATGCACTTATAAAGCACATTACAACATGAAATAGGCCTAAATTGCCCTGCATTCTGGGGTACAGTTATCTTAGGGATCAGTGAAATCATTCTTGCATTAAGTTGTTTGAGTAATTTGCCTATATGGAAAAACTCCAAAATTGCCTTTGTCACATCCTTGCCGATTATTCCCCAAGCAGCTTGGAAAAAATCACTACCATAGCCGTCTGGTCCAGGATTCTTGTTCTTATCTATGTTGAACATGACCTGCTTCACCTCATTTTCAGTGTAAGGTCTAATCAACTCAAATTGTTCTGTGATGTCTAGGATTCTTCCAACCTTAAGAAAACTATTGAAAGCTCGAACTCTGTGGATTTGCTTCCTTCCTAAAAGTTCAGTATAGTAATCGACCATAATTTTTGCAATAGCTTCCTGTTCATGTTGGATCACTCCATGTTTATCCTCCAGCTGAGTTATTGCATATTGTAGTCTTCTATGCTTAATGACCGAGAAGAAGTACTTTGTGTTATCATCCCCCAATTTAATCCAAGTAGCTTTACTTCTTTGTTGTAGAAATATCTCTGCCATGTAGGATGAGCATCTGAACTTTGCATACTTCTCTTTCTCCTCCTGTTGTAGAGAACTATCAGTTGGTTGGCATTGGAGGGCTCGTTGGACTTGTAGCAGGACCAGTCTGAATATTTATTTATTCATTTTTGCTTATTTTATTTTCAATTATAATTTAAGATATATACACCTACACATCTTAATTTTTGAGTGGTCATAAAAACTTTTTAAACTTGTTAACTTATATCATGACTCAAATTTGACGGTTATGCCATGTGATAGGACACCGTTACTACCTCTACTAGACGAACTCTCTAAACTTAGTCCGATCCATGACAGGACACCGTTACTACTTTTTGTATGAGACTCTACAAGATGTGCTCAATTTTTATTGAGACTTTACAAGAAGAGCACAATTTCCGTCAGAGTTCTTAGGGTTATTCTACCCTAAAACCTAGATTATACCTATATAAAAGGTAATATATTTATTCAAGAGGCATCTAAAATATCACATAACTCTTGGATATTCATAAAGAGATCGAAATCTCGAATATCTCATAAACTCTAGTCAGTCGAAGTCCACAGCCTCAGGCCCAAAGCAATTCAAACAATAAAGCGATAAACTCAAAGATGACTAAAAAGGGAACACAAAACACCAAAGTAACCATTAGGCATAAAATTTAAGTTTCACGCCACCTAAGAGCATTCTAAAGATCTAAGACGACAATCAAGCTAAGAATCAACCTAAGCTAAGGCTTATCGACTAAATTACTAAGCTAAATAACCCAATATGGCCAAAATATCAACTAAGGATCATGCACGCCTACGAACTAATAATAAAACCTTCATAACAATCAAACTACTCAAATATATATATATAATCATGCTAAGTCAAGTCTAAAAGAGGAAAATCATAGTCTAACTCAAGGCAAAAACCGCATTGGAACTTTTACTCTGGAGTTTTTCCCTTTCGAAGTCATGCTATCAAAAACATGACAAAAATGCCAAAACAAGCACATCAATACCCATATCAATATAGAAGTTCAAAAATGGAAAAGCAACCAAAAAATGCAATTGTGGGACCCATGCACGGAGTCATAAAATTGACTATATCACGAGGCTCCAAATAACTCAAGGAACTTGTGCCCAAAAAATGAGCACAATTGAGCCACAATCAAGCCAAAACAACCCCACTAATATATTGCTTAAAAGAATAAAAAATGGAGAATTTAAGAGAGAATTGACGGGAATTACCAAGGTTGACAGAATATTAATTGATCCAAAAGTGTGCCCACCCTTTCCCTGACACAATCCAATAAGAATCAACGAAAAACTCCAAGGAAATCTCCCAAAATGGCAAAAAGACCGAGTCTTTTTAAGAACAAGTGCATGCTAAAACGGGATGAACTTTTAAATAATTGTTAGGAAATTTTACTCTCCGCAAAATGTCACGCCCCGAGATACCCCCGAGACGTGGACACGGGACCTAGGACCACAAGTGATCCCAAGCTAACCCTGCTGGCATGATCATGAGCATACTAAAAATAATAAACTGATGCGGAAGCTATAATCATAAATAAATCTGAAATGATGGGGAAAACCCATATACTATAACTGAGATGAATGAAAACTGATGAGTTTAATACAAAGAAGATATTAACTCAATACTAAGCTGAATCTATCTATGTCTGAAATAAGCCTCTAAACTGACTAGAAATGTTGGGACATGCCCCAACTAGATCTAGCAAAACTGAAACT